TCTGTTGTAAAGCCGACAGTCGGCTCTACAAGTTTAAACAGACTCCCGGCGGCAAAAGTCACCGGGAGTCTGTTTAAACAGCCCCGATGCTGGCGACGTACACTGTACGTCGTCAGTCACGAAGGGGTTAAGGTTTGGGCTGAAGTTTCTCTTTAAGGCCTGGTTCACACCTGGGCGTTTTACAGCGCGTTCCTACGCTCTGTAAAACGCTCAACATGTGAAAACCAATGATTGCCTATGGGCATGGTTCCCACCTTGTCGTTTTACAGCGCGTAGGAACGCGCTGCAAAACGCCCTGCGCCCAAAGAAGTACAGGAGCTTCTTTTGAGCGTATTTGCTGCGCGTATCCATTAGGATACAGCCAGGTAGCCCTCGGAAACGCGCGTTTGTCGCGTGTTTTTTTTAACCGAGAATCACGTTAAAAATACGTGGCACAAAACGTGCGACAAACGCGCATATTCGATACGCCTAGGTGTGAACCCAGCCTAAGTGTACCTGTTGATTGAATACAGCTGATTCGTGGGTTTAACCATGCTGCCAGTGATCAGGCCGTATCCACTAAAGGTGCACCGAAATGGAAATTTAAGAAACGAAACCGAAATAAAAAAAAATTGTCAGGCTGAAACCGAAAATGTTTTTTTATTTAAATTTTTATAAACTTTTAAATTTTTTTAATTTTTATTAAATTTTTTACTTTACTGTTAGGGGCTTCGGGGAAATATTAGGCGTCTAAACAGACCCCTGATATTTCCCTTTATAAAATAGAAAAAGAGATTGAGGACACAGTAATACATTACTGTCGAGATCCACCCAGCTGCGGGATTGACAGCGGGCTCTGCCTATCCAGAGGCAGAGCCAGCTGTACCCACCCCCTCCCCGTTCGTTCCTCCAGTCAGCTCTGGAGGATCGGGGAGGGGGGAATCCCTGCAGGGAGTGAGTGACGGTCTCAGCTCTCTGCAGGGACAGGATGGAGAAGTGAGCGAGCGACGGTATGTGTTCACCCACTTCCCGATCTATTGAGCCGACGTGTGACAGTTTCATTGTCGCACGTCGGCTCGAACTATGAGGATGAGTGATTGACAGTAGCAGCCCTTAGCTTATAGCCAGTAGGAAGGACACTATATCAGCCGCAAGTGCTGGAGATCAGTTGGGCAATGCACCCGGCTGCAGCGCACAGGCGCAGTTCTTTTTTTTTCCCCTGTGACCTGGAGGCATGACTGATT